TAGATAGATAGATAGATAGATAGATAGATAGATAGATAGATAGATAGATAGATAGATAGATAGATAGATAGATAGATAGATAGATAGATATCTAATAAGATAAAATCTATTTGAAAACCCAAACTTATGTTTTGTTTTTGGATGAGTATATGTGAGAGAAGGCAGACTGACTTTACAATTATACAACTGACGCATCATGTTTGTCATTTGGTTTCAATTTTCTAAACAGAATGCAAAAATACAGCCAAGGTGTTTAGTAACCAACCCCTCCAAAATTGTGGGTACTGTTCTTCCTCATCAGTATTTCATAATGGCCATGGCATAACCGCCTCCCAGTTTTACTGGTCAGACTGAAGAGTCATTAAAAATTACAACACAACAGCCACTAACTTTGCTCATTATGGTTTGGCTTCACTCGTCTGTGCTGGGAAAATGTAAATCCATTATGGAGGCAGATGTGGCAATGAGAGACCGTGAAGAGTCGTCAGTGGGCATAGACTGAAATGATGAAGAGTGACAGATGACTGACAAGCCCTTTACTTATTTAAAACATTTACATGAACACATCCTGCTGAACTGCGCAAGGTTTTTCTACTGTTATAGAAATATCCAAGAATACTTTATATATCCATCAACTGATCCTAAAGAAACAAATAGGTCATGCATTTGCTTATCGTGTCTAGTTTCTTTTAAAAAAGTAAAATAAACCAGCACTGTTGTCATCATTTAAACTTCTCCTAGTTTGTTGCTGACTTGTCTGGCTCCAGATTCCCATTGGATGCTTTCCAGACAAAACTTCGGTCTGTGAGATTCAAACTTTTTTTTCTAAATCCCCCAAGATAAAGCAACTACAGCACTCTCCACTTCAGAGAAGGGAATTCCAACTGATCAGCACTTAAAACCAATAATTTACCAACAGCAGCCAAGCTGTTACCGTGCTTACTTAGAAATTTTAAGGTGTCCAAGGCAACTGTGCTAAAGCGGTGACGTATCAGTCTCTAAAAGTTGCAGATCTGCTGCACACACAAGCTCTCGGTTATTGCGTACACACACAGGCAGGCACTAATAGAGGCTTTGCAGACTACTGACCGGCAGCTAAGTTGTGTTTATCTGTTTAATTTAGATAAATTGGAAGGCTGAAACATTAAAACCTTGTTTATTTGCTGTCTTCCTGTTCCGATGGTTCCAGCTTCCTCCCCAGAAGACCCAGTCAGATATAAAAGTTAACTTACACACACATCAGACGCACACGCCCTGAAGCACTTGGATTTAGAGTATTTGTGCAGACAGTTAATTGAGAGCTTCTCCCATGCACACCGGCAATTAAAATCCCCCTCATGCACATGTTCATGCACAGATATAAACCAATCGGCCACTGAAAGATGAAGCGAATAACATGGATTATCTGTTACAATGACAACAGATATAATATGCAGCAACTGAATGATTGATCCCCGTGTTATTATTGCTTCCTTTTATCGAGTGACAAAGTGTGTCTAGAGAAGAGGTTGTGGTGGGTGGTTGGGTCAAACACACAGCTTTCACACAGGAGACTGTGATTCACTAATTAGATATCCATGTTTACTTATTACTTTAGAGTTAATTGATTGAGTTTTTACTTCTTTGAGGTCAGGCTTAGACACCTTCTCAAATCCAGGAATAACTGTTTAACTTTTTCACAGCATTAATCATATCAGTATAATTAATCATGGTAAAAGGTCCTGAAGCAGTGACGCTCCTGGGGCAACATTAAAATGTAAGGTTGTGGTAACAATGATATCAGATTGCGTGTGTTGGACGCAGGAATAACTGTGAGTGCTTTACTTTCTTGCCAGGATTTCACTATGGTCATGGCATAAGCACATCTTAATTTTATGCTGAAGTTAATGGCAGAGGAGGTTTGGAACGGTGCAGTTACAGAGTCAGCAGAGCGTTGGCAATTTAGATCTGTTAGGAAAAGGTGTCAGCATTGGTTTTTTTATCCTTTAGCCTTCATTTATCCGATAGTGTTGGAGGAAGGATGCTGTGCATTCCTCTGCGTGAATAGGAAAGTATTAACACAACAGGAGAGAAGGTAAAACATAACAGCCAAAATGTAAGGCCGTCCTTGCAAAACATTGTTTTCTACTTCATCACATGCATGACAAATTAGTCTTGTACACCGTCTGAGTTCAGAAGCATTACGAATACATGATCAGTTGTAAACCTGTGATCAGTATGTCATAGCACTGAGCGTATTACTGATGATAATGGTGGAAGGTAGGCCACAAATATGCTCTCAAATGTGCTATTTGGGAGTCAATCAACAGAACTTCTTACTCCATGATAATAATCAGTAATATGATCACATGATTGTCATAATCTATCAGGAAATAAGTGGCCTTTTGCATGTCTAACAAGGTGATTTTTAATTTTGTGCACGCAAAATGTATCAACAATGAGAATCTTTTGTTATTAACTTCACTAAACAGTTTGAATTTGTTATTTTTCAGTACATTAGGAGCAAGAATTTGGTACAATTAGAAGTAGTGCGCATGAAGGTCATCGCTGTGAAAAGGGAAAAGTGCCCATAAAACAACAAATGTGACACTGACCACTGAGTGATCACTGTGTGTAAGTTTGATTAAAATCTGGCCAATACTGCAGGAGGAGCTGCATTTCTTGTGAACTGTAGCTGGACAGAGGGACAGGTGGTTGTCTTGGCATTGCATGAACTCATAGCCCCCTTCAGCCAGATCAGCTAAAACTGTACACATGTGCACACAAATCGTTTTCTTACTGGGCAGCTCCAGTTTGATGCAGTTGTTGTTATCTCTCCCCACGGGACATTTGTAGACGTCTCCGGTTCTTTTACTCGGCTGTCCTGACAGCGGAGATCCAATCAGAACCCTGAAAAAATAAGGACGAGATGAGAATGGTTACATGGAAAGCCATCCAACATCCACACTACTTGCTTTACAATTGTGATAACAACCGCAATTCAGATGTTATTGCAGCGATTAGAAGCAGTGACTCTGAGATCCACTTCTGAGGTCCACAGCTATTTAGACATGGTTTAATTATACTTGTATAGCAATTGAACGTAAACCATGGTTCACACTGCCTAGTAAAGATGTTATAGTTTATTGTGATTGGCTTGCGAGTTTGTGGCTGCAGTTTTATTATATAATCCCTCTGACACAATAACAAAGAAATAGCTGGAAATAAAAAACAACACCACATAGTAATGGAAGATAACTCCCAGCTGCTTTTATAGCACTTCAGTGTTACGTTTAATGTGCTGGACAAGTTCAATATGTGTCTTGTGTGGGTTTTATTACACTGTGTCTCTCCATCAGTGCATTGATGCTAAAAAAAAGTTTGGTCATCTGCCTTCCTCTAAACGCTCAAACTTATTAACATTCCTGACTCTAATGGACCCTGTGTCATTTGAAGCAAGACGCAGAGAGGAACAACAACACACCCGACACACTTTCTGCTGCCAGCTGCCTGTGAGAAACATTGTAATTATTTACAGCATTGAACGAGCACTCTTTTCACTCAGAAATGAAAAAATAAACACTTCATAATTACTTCATTAATGATAAGTTAAGTGTTCTTCCTGCTCGTGTCACTGCAAAAAAAGAGCAGCTTTAACAAAGGAATGATTGACAACCACTTAAATATTTCAACAGCGGTTCAAAGCACTGGTATGCAACTTTGTCCAAATATTCATGCTGCACACAGGATGAATAACTTTCCCGATCCAATGGATTTTCAAAACTGTTCTTAACATGAAAGCCAGGCTTGTACAGGCTTTATTACATAAAGTTAAGTTTTAAAGGCACAGCCGTGTGAATAACTGTATGTAAAATGTGTGCTGGTGTCATCAACTCTAGATGACTCAGAACTTTCTCCAACAGGGTGTATTTGAAGTCAAACCATGGTCTTTTTCCCCCAACAGTAACCGAGTCATTTTGGCTCGCAGACGTAACCAAAGTAGAAAAGTGAAAATAAGCAGCTGCGAGAGGGAAAATTGAAACGGTGTCCAGATTCCACTGTTTAGCTGAACGGCAATGAAATGGGTCGTTTTCAGATTGAATGAACAAAGATTGATCCTATCATACTATTTGTTTGTTGGGATTTGCATCTACTTCAAAAACAGCTCAACAGGTATGTTTTTGTGACAAGGAAAAAAAACACCTGTTATTAAAATTCTCATTGGTTTGTTGTCAGTATGATAAAAGGGTAAAAATGGCAGTATGGTAACTGGTTGCACTGTAAATGTGAACATGCTAGGATGCTGAATATAGAATTAAACAACTGAAAATGAAGCTGCTAGCTCAGCTTACAACTCTGAATTCTGGTTTATTTGATAATTACTCTTTTTCACTAAGTAGTTTTTCCCGAAAGAAAAAGGTCAGGGATGCAAGTGGCAGGAAATGAGCTTCCTCCAAAGCATGTCTGGGATCTGCTTTGGAGATAGAGCAACAAGCTCAAAGAGCTGCTAAACCTCCACAACAAAATGAGAAAGCTGTGGCAGTTTTGACATCTAATTAGGCTGGCACCTGGAAATCTTGTAGGTGAGATGTTTGGGACGTGTCCCATCAGGAGGAGACTGCTGGAAAACACAGAGCAAGCGAGGAAAATTATGTCTCTCAGCTGGGAGCGCCCCCAGATAAGCTGGAGGACATCGCTAGGGAGAGGGATATCCGGGCACCTCTGTTACCTTCTGCCCCCACAAACCATAATTCATCATTGGATGAATAATATATGGATATTTTTCAGCAAAAAATAGGTTACAAGTTCTTAAACCTTAAAACTCTTTAAATGTTGAATTTCTACAATAATAACAAATCATTTTCACATGATTTAAAAAATGAAAACATTGCACTTTTCTGAAACCTTTCCCAGCAATGTTGTGGAGAGCAGACAAATCTTGGGGTTAGCCAAGGTTACAAGAGGCTCCAGCGAAAAGCTGAACCGCCTGTGCCACATGTAACAGCTTTTCTCTCCCCACCCTCGCTGACGGTTAAGGCATCTGTAACTAATCAGTCACCTCCCACTTACAGCAACCTGCGTGTTACATCACCATGTGATTGCTATAGTTTCTCATTAAAATATTTTCCCAAGCGTAACACTGAGAGCTACAGGTCGTCTCTAATTTTTCCCCACTAAACCTCTGTAAATCATTCAGCCTCGGTCATGTCCTCCCTCCGCTCGCAGCGTGCTTTGCCCTCATCACTAGTGTGAAACAGAACAAAATCAAGCTTTTTGGATGATATGTAGCACACATGTTTGACTGCACTGAGGAGTTTCAGTCGCAAATGGCTCCACTGATTAGCAGTAAGTGAATTACTACAAGTGATCTCATATGATCTCGATAAGTTAACTAGTACAAAGCGCCATCAGGTATAGCCATGCAGGAAAGGATCAGCGATTATAGTGCAACAGGTCTGACTTTAGAGTAACTAAAGGAGTTTGCAGAAAGCAGAAGAGATAAAAGATTTTAAAAACATGTTTCCATGTTTATTTTAGCAAGAAGCCACGGATGCTTGGTTTCATTGTATTAACAGGCTGGGTATGTGAATACTCTGGCGGGCAGTTTAAGGTTAACAGCTAGTAGTAAAAACAAGGACCTTCATTACAGCCGCAGCTGGTGTGCTCGCCCCATCTTTATTTTACAAGCGAATCAGTGTTTTTTTCCTTTTTTTATTATTTTCTGGAGTAGAATTTAACCGAATGAACACTTGTCTTGATACATGTGCACATTTTTGGCCAGAATTCTCTTAAACAAAAATATTTATTGGGAAAAAAAGACACATTTAAAAAATGTATTATACCTCTATTACTTGTCTGTTATATAACATTAGGGATGCTCGTGGCAATTCATTTCTTAATCAGCTAAACAGGTCAGTTAAGAAACAGTCAAATATTAAGTTACATTTGAAAACGGTTTAAAAAAAAATATCCCCATTCCAAAAGGTCACATGACAATCTCATTGGCTCACGGAGTTGTGATGTCACAACACTTTGATCCTTTGAAGTTTGTCCTTAAATAGGGGTGAGAAACAGCAGTTTTTTAGTTCGTGTCCTCGCAGCATTTGTGTTTGCAGCTTTCACACGTTCACCACAGAAACTTTTGGAAACCTTTTCAGAGTTGTCGTGTACAACTTTCAACATGTATCCTACAAGACACCAACCAAGGCAAAAAGATTACGCCGCTTCTCCTTCCTGTCGTGGCCAGCCAAATGACCTCTTAGCCGTCCAAAGGGCATTACATGACAGTAGGAAGGAAAACTACCACCTCCAGAATAAAATTCAACAGATTGAAGACAAGAAACTTCAACTGGAGGAGAAGTGTAGACAGATGGAAGCGCAAAATAAGAACCTTGAAGAAAGACAACAACGCCAGCCCGACATAACAATTATTAATGAGGGCTGGGGAATCAAGTTTGGACAAGCCCGAGACCAGATTGTCTTCCTAATTAAGGAAAACAAGCAAAAGAGCGCGGAACTAAAGGAGATGTCCAACCAGCTTAAAGACAACAAAGCTACTGTTGAGAAGACAGAATGGGATCTCCAATATATGGACCAAAGGAATCGGCTGCTCCAAACAAACTTCGATGAAGCTGTGAAAAAAAATAAAGAAATCCTCCAACAGAAGGAAGAACAGGAGAAAAAGCAAAGAGACATGGAGCACAAACTCAAAGTCACGGAGGAAAAATACAGAATGCTGAAAGAG